CGGATTAACAGCAGACCGGTATGGGTTCAGGTATTAATCCGGATTAATGACAGACTGCTATGGGTTCCGGTATTAATCCAGATTAATGGCAGACCTGTCTGAGTTCAAGTATTAATCCGGATTAAACATAGGATGATCAAGGTTCTTATATTAATCTGGATTATGCATGAATCTGCGTTCATTAAAAACATTTAAAAATGTACCAGTTTGGAATCTGTTTTTAAACCAGATTAGACATGAACTGATAATATTTTTATGAACTGGGGTTAAATAGGTACATGGCTTGTATTCCAGTCTTTGTTGCTTTGTTCCTTTTTGCTTGTCTGTAAACTGTTTGCTTAGCACAAGTGAATGTAGAAGTTATGCTTATTTTGATTGAAGCTTACAAACTATGAGAATAATGTCTGTGGAATATTCATTCAAAAATAATTACCTAAATAGTTTTATGAATAAATTGATAAGCATAATTATTTCCAAGCTTTAATTGAGATGAAGATAAACTATAAACAGATGTAGATCACAGTTGTTGTATTGATGTCTTTGCATAATGTTTCTTAAACAGAACGTTTAAGACAAATTAAACATGCAAGTCCAGCCAAGTTACCAGTATGGAGAGAAAAGCAAAGTTAATGTTTCAGATTATTGACACTTCATTCAAACTGAATTACATAGATTTGAGACAGTATTTTCTGAGTCCCTGTAAACTCTACAGAGAGCGCAGTTTGGTATGAAGGGTTGCAAATATTCCAAATATTTGTTTTATTTATAGAGGAAGAAATAAAAGCATATTTCTAGGCATCCCATTAAGATATATTAGGACCCACGTGCCGTGGACTTGAACCTTGTGACCCAGAGGTAGGGACACTGCCAGTGTGCCATGAACGATGTTCTTGTATGTTTCTTGCATGCTGAAAATCTTACTAAAGCCATACACTCTGTGTTTCCAGTTAACAGATTGTATAAAATGCCTACTGCAGGAGTTCCTGCAGTTGATGATTCAGCAGGTTGTCACAGACCAGGTGTGGCAGATTCTGAAGCTCATTTCATCTCACCGGCTCCCCAGATCTTTCAAGATAATGGATTCTCGGCTAATTATCTGGATGCTTCTGCTGACTGTGACACCTCTGATAGTGGGCCGTCCACTTCCACTGCCTTCCAGCCTGCTGACACAAGGAGCACTCAGAAAGTTCTCCAGATTGATCGGCAGCAGATCCAAGCCGTGGATCAGAGTGCCCAGGCTCTGGAGCTGCAAGGTCTCGGAGTCGATGTCTACGACCAAGATGTATTGGAGCAAGGTGTTCTTCAGCAAGTGGACAGAGCGATTAGTGAAGCCAGTCAAGCTGCCAAAAGAGCAGAAGCAGATAAAGAGTACTGTTCTGTTTTAGATGATCTGAGGTACTGAACATTTTAAATGATACTGGGATGAAGCAATTCAATTTAAAGTTTCTAATAAAGATTTACAATGTTTACTCTCACTGATATGCATGATTCAGATTAAGGTAATGGATTAGGCAAGACTATAAATCAGTATACTACTTGACATTGCATTAAACATAAATGTCGGTGGCAATATCATTTAGAAGGTGGCTGGAATTACATTTTCTGCTACCAAAAAAATTCTGCCATGCTTTTGCTCCCACGTTTCTACCACCCAAAGAACTGACACATTGCCAGTTCTGCACCTCAGCTTGTGCCAGGAATCAGATCCTAATGGATTGGGGCTTGAAGAAGCTGCAAATGTTGGCTTTCAATGGGAATTGCTCTGTGATCAGTTACCAATGGAAACCTGGCTTCAAATTTCTGGATTTCTTTTGGCAAGAATGTTGCAGCTTTCAATTGGAGATCCAGGGTTTTCCTACCACACAGTTGGCAGGGAACCACCAGAAATGTCCAAGTTGGTGAGGATCCTCAAGGTAAGAAACACCCAACAATCTGATTCAGGGTGCTAGCGGAGTCATTTAGTGAGCAGAGATATCTCTTCATGTCCATTTAGGATTTAAACCGGGAATCCCTGAGGCTTTTTGAGTCAACAATTCCTGTCCAACGTAGTACCACTATAAATGATTTTAGAAGCAAATCATACCAGAGCGGAGATTAAGAAGTAGGCCCAGTTCGGACATTGGGCAAGGGAAGTCGTAAGGAACTCAGTGAGATTTGGTTCAATGTTTCAGAATGCAGTGATCAGATTATGAGTTAAGCTTAAATCGGTCAATTTGACAGCAGTCATGAATTGAAGCCCATCTATGCTCGATTGTTGACAGCCCCATCATCAGCGCTTCATTAGCTGTGCATCAATCTGTATGGATTCATTCTTCACTGCAGTTCTAGTGCAAAGTATTTCTGTTTTGTGAGGTTAGTGTTATTAATGTGTTTATCTTTTAATTTAGGTCCACTACTGTCTGTCTGAAGCAAACAGATAAGATCATTGAGCAGTTGACTCCACATGCTGCTGCGAGCAAGGAAGTAAAGAGGAAGCTGGAGTCTGTGAAAAGACAGAGAGAGAACAAGGTGCCGTTCTTCTCCTGTTTCTCGTGTCACCCTTCAGGTGGCGTGCGTCCTTTCATCGTTTTCTTGAGATTAGAAATTATTGTTACTTATCCTATTACTTTCACTCAAAAATCTTTCCCTTCACTTTAATTTTTCATTAGTGGAGGTGTGTGTGTGAGCAGTGCTGGCTGGGCCAGCATTCATTGCTCACCCCTAGGCCCCTTAAGAAGGTGGTGCTGACCTGCCGCCTTCTTGAACACGGCAAAGTGGTGTGATATGCCATTTCAGAGGGCATTTGAGAGTCAAAGCGTTGCTACAGATCTGGAGTCGTGTGTAGACAGGCCAGGTAAGGATGGCAGATTTCCTTTCCTAAAGGGAACTAAATAGGCATTTATGATGTTCTGGTAGTTACATGGTCTCTATCACGAAAGACAACGGCCTAAATAGAGATCAAACAATGCACCCTGCATGTGATTAGAAGATCTAGTTGCATGTAGGGCAGCACGGTGGCTCAGTGGTTAGCATTATTGCCTCACAGTGCCAGGGACCCAGGTTCGATTCCATCCTGGGGTGCCAACACTGTGTGGAGTTTGCATGTTCTCCCATGTCTTTGTGGGTTTCCTCCTGGTGCTCTGGTTTCCTCCCAAAGGCCAAAGATGTGCAAAGATAGGTGGATTGGCCATGATAGGTTGCCCATCGTATCCAGGGATATGACGGCTAGGAGGATTATCCTTGGGAGATGCAGGGATGAGATAGCGGGGTGAGTCTGGAGGGGACACTCTTCAGAGAGTCAGGTGTGAACTCGATGGGCCGAATGAGCTGCTTCCACACTATCTATTGCAAATGGTGTATTTATCCAGGGTGTTCCCAATCAATATATATTTTCTTAGAGCATTTAACTTATCAGTTTTCAACTGAACAGGAATATCCTTGTTTCTGATCAAGTAGTTTGTGAATATTATTCTCCCTGGTGCTTCACTTTTGTTTTGTCCCTGTTCCTAAGGAGAGACAGTTGAAAAAGATAAGGGCCAAACAGAAACATCTCCAAGCCGTGCTCAGTGGTGCCGACATTCAGAAGCTTGAAGCCGAGTATGAATCTTGCGATGAAGGTAAACAGAAGGCTGGTCTCGACAGTTTAATATTTCCTTTACATAGGTTTTCACCTGTCAGTTTTTCTTCAGGTCTGCTATGCTTTTTCTAAACAGATCAGAGAGTTATGTAACTGACAAAATTTCATTGTGATTTCAGATTTATTTTGACAATCAACGTTGATTGTTTACCTCTTAATAAGTACCCTGTGAGGGTTCCTGTTGGGCAGCCTTAGAGTCTGTACCTCTGAGCCAGAAGGCTTGGGTTCAAGCCCCACCTGCTGCAGAGGGTGTGTAATAACATTTCCAAACAGGTTGATTGAGAAATATCAATAAGTATTTGGTATGGCTGATTGGTATTGCCAAACATTCTTGAAACATCCACAGTTTTGACATTAGTGAGAATATCATGTTAATGTTGGGAAGATCCAGGGTCTTTTAGTCCCATTTGTCAGCTATCATATTTTGACAGTGCTTGTTTATTTTGGAATTTTGATTTGTCTTCTCAATTTTCCACAGTTTATCTCAAAGATGCAAAATGAATGAAGTAGATACTGAAATACTCCAGCAATTTGCTATCACACTTAGTAAATGTAGCAGCACGACAAATTTAACTTCCTGGTAGTGAGCTCAGTTCAGTTATACACAGAATTACATAAAAGGCACTGGATAAGGATAGGCTATTTGACCTAACCAGTCTGTGTTGATGTTTCACTTGAGTCTCCTCCCATTCCATTGTCTTAACCTTTCAGAATATCTTGCTATTGCCTTCACGCTCATTTATTTGTCTGGTTTCTTTTTTGAAAGTGTCTAAGCTACTTATTTCACAACTTGTTGTGGTAGTGAGTTCCTGACTGGAACTACTCTCTGAGTAAAGAAATTTCCCCAAATACCCATCTTGAATTCATTAGTCGATACTTTTTATTTAAGGTTCCTAGTTTTGAATTCTGCTACAAGTAGAAGCATTCCACATCTGCATTATCCAATGTGTTCATTATTTTCCAAGTCTTCTGTTTTCTAAAGAGAAAAGCCCACCCTGTTCAATTTTCCCTTATAGCTGTGATCTCTCAGTTCAGGTACCGTCCTTATAAGGGTCTTTTTGTATTTGTTCCAATTTTCAATGTCATTTGTTTAGTATGGAAACCAGAACGATACACTGTACGCTAAGATAGCCTGACCAGGACACTGTTCAAGAATGACATTACTTCATAACTTTTCAAGTGTGTTCCTCTTGAGGTAAAACCCATGCTTTATTGGAATTTTTAAATGCTTCACTGAGCTGTGATGCTGCTTTTAATAATTTGTTTACCTGAAACTCTAATTTTTTTGCTGTACCACTCCATTCGCATTATGTGGAGGTTACATTTCTGTTTTTGCTATCGATGTGCCTATCTTCCGTTTATCGGTATTAAAATTTCTTTGCTGCTTAAATGCACAATTTGCAAATTTTTCAAAAATCCTGTGTTATTCATTCTCGGTATTAATTTTATCCCTGTTTGCCAAATTTTGATATTGGTTTACTTATTTATAGGTACAAATTATGTGTAACAGTGATCCCAGCACTGCTCTGAACACTGCTTGCTACCTTCTTTCAATCAGTCTAAATAATCATTTGTTTCCCGTGCTGCCTGCTTTCTGGTCTTTAGCCAACTTACTATCTATTCAGCTATTTGTTCTGTGTCTCCCGATACCCTAATCTTTGCCATCAGCCTATTATCCGGTATCTTATCAAAGGTGTTTTGTAAATTCAAGAACATGACATTTCCCTTTCTATCCCAACTCTATTAGTATTTATTTTAAGTTCATCCTGTAGAGACATGTTTATTTCATTATCATCATATTAAAATTTGATTTACAATTGGATTGAGTGATCAGCATTTGTGGTAAATAATTTTATGAAATAACACAAGTATAAGAGTGAATGTTGCAACGTGCCTGAGGGTCCTATTCCTAGCTAGTGCTAAGCTTTCAGGTCCCCAGGCTACTGTTTCTCTTTATGAGGGCACTAGTCTGGCACTCACCTCCCATGTTTCTGGTCTACCTATTCCCTTTTCTATAATATTCAATATGCTTAAAATGCTATCAAACTTTCATTGCTTATTAGCTGATTTATTTGTCAGATATGTTTTGACTTTCATTCCTGATGACCTAAACAACGTAAGTTCCTGGTCTCTTGTCCACAGAAGTGTGGAACATAGGCATGAATGGAATAGCCAACATATATTCAATGCATATATCTCATCCCTGGAGCCAAGTGGCTTTAGAAAAAAATGAGACAGCCTAATTATGTTGTCTTGTCTTTTGTATCTATCTGTTGTAATTAAAGTGTTTAATTTTGCCATTTCTGAAAAAAAATTGAGGAACAAATCATATTGGTTTTCGATTGCAGCAATTGTTGAACATAACATTGAACCTTTCACTTAACCGAAGAGTTTAATGATGGGATAGGTAGCGAAAATTTAGTTTTGAATTAAACATTGTGTTTGAGTAAGTCAATGCATGTCTGAACTTTTCATTATTTACTCTTTTTGATATGTGTTCTAACCTCTAAGCTGCCTTCTTTTATCCTGTGATATCCTGTCATTTCCATTCTAGTTTTCTCAGTGCATAAACCCACATTTTGATTATTTTTCACCTGTGGTGTATTGGTTCTCATTTTCATACCTTGTGTTTTATACAAGATCAGAATTTGGCAATCCATTGCCCCTCAGGGAGCACTCCAAGTATTAGATTAATTTTCTTTTCCCCACTATGACTGCATTCGGTGGTTTTGTATTGGTATAAAGGAATAAAACTAGACAGAATTGAGGACTACGCTACTCATCTTAAATGGATACATTTCACCTGCTGACTTTGAGGTTATCAATGGATCAGGATAGAGGACTCTTTGCTGGTATCTTGTTGCACAGTGTGTAGCCACTATCTCAGTCAGGATCTCTGGATTTGAGTCTCATTCTGGGACTTGATAACCACAAAAGGTGCATTTATAACTTAGCCAAGTAGATGGATAATCACCCTGCAAATCTTTCCTATTCACCAGTGGCAAACAGAAAAAGCAAGTGTGTCTACTGATCAGCTGTAACCTGCAGAATGCAACTACAAGCTTCTGCAGTGTGTTGACAAACATAATCCTGGACCAGCACCTGGAAGTCCATGGTCACCAATACCCTCTTAGGCTTTGGTACCTGAAGAGAGATAGAGGAGGCTTTAGTAAACCCCTAGGATATAGTGATACTGCATGCTATTCAAAGCACAAGAAGTGCTCAGTTTCCTACAACAGGAAATGCAGATTAGAAACTTGTATTCCATATATTCATATGTATGAATGAAATGCCAATACAAAGTTGCACATCTGTAAACAGTTGAGACTATCCTTAGTGCACATTACTTGGCACCAGAGTTGAAACATTATTTTGAATGCTAAAAAATCACATTCTTGTGCACACCACACAGGAAATATTTATGTCAAAAGCAGGTAAATTCTTGTTGCATTTGATGGTATTCTATGAATGTCCTTGTCAGAACCAGGTCCTTCATCGTTAGGAAGTATGTTAATGCCGGCACAAGAAACAGAATGGGAACATCTAATCCGCACTGGACAGATGACACCTTTTGGCACTAAAATACCTCAGAAAGAAACAAAAAAGGAGCCTCGCAAGATCATGCTGAATGATGCATCTGATTTTGAGAAGTATCTGGCTGATCAGGCAAAAATGGCTGCGATACGGAGGAAGTCTTTCACGAAAAGAGCCAAGCAGAGAAAACCAGTTCCTGACCAGGCCGAAACTAAGATATCAGTTGGCAAAACTCAAAATCCAAAAGGTTTCCCGAAGAAAAATAGCACTGTGTCAAGAACAGACCGCAAACTGAAAAAACATTTGCAGAAACTGCAGCGCAAGACTCTTGAGATTAAATTTAAGGCCGGTGCTCCAGCCAAGAAAAATACCCTGCAAGATCTGCTGAGAGGGCAAGAAGGCAAAGGCTCAGACAGTGAAGAGTCACTTTATGTTCCTGATGAGGAGTTACTTTATCCAGATGAAATTGGTAACAGCAATGATGAAGTATCTGATAATGGCAGATTTAAGAAAGCGGCAAAGAAAAGGCAAAAACACGACCACTCGGGTGAAGCTTTTTCACCAAGCTCAGGAGAAGATGAATCGAGAGGCAGGATAAAAGCGCACAAGGATGATGGAAATGAGGAGCTCTACAGGAAAAGATTGAGGTAAAGAAATTTACTTTTACACTAACGGGTCTCTATCAGCAGATATGTTTCAGAATTAAATATTGAATCATTCATTGTTCTGTCAACCATGGCTCAGTTGGGCGCTCTCCCATCTCTGAGTTGCAAGATTTAATGTTCAAGACGCTCATTAGGGCTTCAGCACAAAGATTAACGCTGACACTCCAGTTCAGAGAATGTGCTACTTTTTCAGATCCAGTGTTTAACCAAGCCCCATACGTCTGTTTGAGTGGATGTAAAAATTCCCAGGTGCTGTTCAGCCTGGTGCACTGCCCAATCCCTCAGGCAACATCTCAAAAACAGATTTTATGGTCACTATCACATTGCTGTTTGTGAGACGTTGTCACATTTCCTACATTAAAACAGTGACTACGCTGTTCAAAATAAAAGTACCTCATTGGTTGTAAAGTGCTTTGAACAACCAATATTTGTGAAAGACACTAGATCAGTACATGGCTTTTTAACAGATGAAAGATTGAATGAACATGAGTATACTAAAGAAACAAATTGGGGGAAGTAATGTCAATCTAAAGGACCCTCCTCCCAGTGCCACAGACAGCTTAAAGATAAAGTACTTTTAATATTTCTGTTTAGGTTTTGGTAAATTTAACTTTTTCAGTCATTTACCACCATTTTTGTATAAGACTTACTGACAACAAGCCATTTGCTGTTAACAAGCACGCTGAAAAATGCAAGGCTTTTTTATTCACTGGCTTGGCCAGGATTTGTTGCCCATCACTAGTTTCCCCAAAGAAGATGGTGGTTAAGCCACTGTTGCCACCTTGAACCGTTGCCTTCCTTGCCTCTGATCTGCTCATGTTACCAAAATACTTGCATTGCTGTCTGATATAGTTTCTATGATAACTGCCAGATTTTTGATCATTGAGGATTCATTGATGGTAATGCCATGGCGGTGATGGATCTGCTGATTGAAATGGTCATTGTCTGGCACTTATGAGTTGAAAAACTCTGTCACATTTCCAGTTTTCTGCAGCCAAATTAACTTGAACCCGTTCAGTTGGTGGTATAACCTGACCCAAATGTTGATACTAGTCAGAAACATTATAATTACAAAAAAAAATTCTTTCAAATTCTATTCTTTCAGAATTGTGGGGCAGGCTATCAACCAGAATGGAATCAGTGTGCAGATGTTACATGATTGTAGCCATGATTGGGTTGAGTTGGTTATTTTTCCTGACAGTTGTAAAGCCCTAAGTATTATGTGTTGGGTGTGAAGCTATTCACAATATGTGACATCTCTCCTCAAGTGTTTGATAGCTTCACTTTTTTAACCCTAGAAATTAAGACGTTTCCTCCAACATTCACCATATTTTGCCTCTTTAAAGCTTGAGAGAAATTTTTAGTCCATTATAAAACTATATTTGCTGTTATTTGGAGTTTAGTGTTATAGTAAATGTATTTCAGCTTTCTTTTCATCACTCTAAATATGCATCTAGTTACTCATTAGTAATCACTGGTAGAACTTAGGTTTCCAGTTGACTCTGGTATCTAGACTGTTACTGCTGTTTTGTTGAACAAGATTCCGAGGCCGGTCCCAAGCAGCACAGGATAAATGTATAAGGAGAGCCTAGAAAAATGTGGGTTTACAGCCTTCAAAGAAAAAAATGAATGAGATGATTTTATAAAGCAACGTAGGATAATTTAAAAATTGAAGTGTGATAAAACTACATATCGCTTTAACTTATGAGAGCAGGACATGAGATACAGTTTGAACCAAATGAAAAATAAATTTAGGACTGTCGTAAGTAATTTGACATATGGTATGACTTTTCACCGCTGGGCTTTTCCACTGTCTGGATCTGTTGTAAGTTATTTTTAAATCAACTTTCTTTCGATTAAAATTAAAAATATATGTGGTATAGATGGATTGGCCATGCTAAATTGCTAAACAGGAATATGTAGGTTAGGTAGATTAATAATGGGAAATGCAAGGTTACAAGGATAGGGTAGGGTGGGTGGATCTGGTTGATATGCTCTTCGAAGGGTCAGTGTGGACTCAATGGGCCAAATGGCCTGCTTCCACACTATAGGGATTCTATGATTCTAACTTGCTTGGATATATTACAATGCATCTGCATGGTACTTGAAACCAGATTTTCTGGCACAGAGTTAGGGACACTACCACTGTACCATGGGAGCGTCTGGGTTCATTGTAAACTGATTCATAGAGATCACCTCCTTTGATTACTGAATGATTACATCATCATTTTGTCACACAAGTCCCAGAATGATGGGAAGTAAACTAGATAGACCTTGGGAATTGGTGGATGAAGAAAAACCATGTGCCTTTTTGCAAGTTTTCCGTGCAAACGTTGATTAACACGTGAAATGGACTCGCAGATAAAGCAGTGAATGCAGAAATTGCTTGACAAGCAGTGAGATGCTGAAATAGATGGACTGTAGATCTTTCCAGTTGGATGAAACAGAAGGAGCTTTTTCTCACTTCCTCAGCCATAATTATCTTACGAATGCTGTGTTCCTGAGGAACCTGGATGCTAGACCCTTCAATTCATAAAATGGACTTGAGAGGGTTTGCTTGTATCTAGGTTACTATACCACTCTTTCATACTTGACTTTTCTTCCAACTAAAGTATAATGCTGTCAAACTGGACATTTTTTTTATTTGAATGTACTTGGATAAATTATACTGATTAAAGTGGATGTCAAATAGTTTCCAGTTGTAACATTACTGCGACATCTGTGTCAAGTTCTTCATGGAAATTAAAGTTCCATAGTCGAGATTGTGTGAATTTAGTGAAAGTTATTATGAATGACCAGTGCAACATTGATATTGAATGAACACTTTTTTTAAGCTCTCTCATAGTAAGCTGGTCCAGAAGATTAAGCCTCATGGAATCCATGGTGAGTTGTATCCAAGTTGGATACAAAATTGGTTATTTATTGTAAGGCACAGGTTAGCTGTGGAGGGGTGTTTTTCTGACTGCCAGTCATTGACCAGTGGTGCTCCGCAGGGATCAGTGCTGAGACTTCTGTTGTTTGAAAATATGAAAATGTGGGTAGTCTGATTAGTAAGTTTGCAGATGGCACAAAAATTGGCGGTGTTGTAGTTGGTGAGAAACGTTATCAAAGGATATAGCAGGTTATAGATCAGTTGGAAAGTTGGGCAGAGAAATGGCATTTGGAGTTTAATCTGTACAAGTGTGAGGTGAAGCATTTTGGGAGGTCAAACGCAAGTGGAAAGTAACAGTAAATGGCAGGACCATGAAGTGAATTGATTTGCAGAGGGATCCTGGGGTTCAAGTTCATAGCTCCCTAAAGTGGCAACACAAGTGGATAAAGTGGCAAAGAAGGCACATGGCATGCTTGCCTGGATTGGTCAGGGGGAAGAGTATAAAAATTGGCAAGTCATGTTGCAGCTGTATAGAACTTTAGATAGGCCACATATGGAATATCGCATACAGTTCTGCCATAGAAAATCGCGTTATAGGGAAATCGCTGTAGAAAATCGCTATACCTGTACAGCAGAAAGTTTGCTTTTACCAAACAGTGTCCACCATTCATCAGTCGCATTACAGGCAATTAGTGTTAACGAAACACGCATTATAGCAGAAATACCTGTACTCTACTTTTCTATGTTCATCTGTTACGCCTTATGTACCGGTAAGTTTGCAAACCCCATGCAGTAATCCTGATGAAGGATAAAAAAAGACTATTACTTGATGACTTGTCCAAAATGAAATGATACTTTTTTTTTATATTCTGCAACAAGTCTGTTTGCTTGAAATGAAGCCTTCTGTTACTCGCTTACCATGCGAAAGCAAAAAAAAAAAATGCTGGTTACTTGTATGATGTACCAAGTAGCTTAAGTTGTAAGAATGAATTCCCAAGTCAAACATTTGATGAATTTTTGGTTTTATTCATGATTATAATTTGAATGAGTTTGACACAAAACAAGTAGAATTAGAATATCTAAACAGTGAAGTGGCACGTGATACGATAGAGTAGTTAAAAGCTTAAAAGAGATTGACATCAGCGATTGAACGGCGCACGTGATTTTGCTCACATTTGGAAGTCATTGATCAGAACTGACTTTGTGATCCCCATAGATTTTACTGCAGTGCCCCTTCAAGCATCTTATTGAAAAACTTTATTTGTGAGAAGTGCTGAAAGTCCTTCCTTACATTTCCTCCAAAGAAATTTGAGCTAGTGCAAAGAACTCAACTTCCAATTTTCTGAACAATATGGAAAGTTTGTTTATTTCCATTGATTTATCTGTGTATCTTGTTGGCTGAAAATGATACTTGTAAGGTTACTGGTCCCTATTAGTCTATTGTCAAGTATACGATGTATAACCACTCCACCCCCAACAGTGAAACAAAGTTAAAGTGATCAGACTTTAACTTAATATAAATTTAAGACTCTTTTGCTGGCTATTACTTATGTAAAATGCAAATTTTAACTTGAATGAATTGCTGAGTTATTAGTCTCGTTTGAGTCGTGGGATTTTTTTGTGCATAATTAAACCCTGTTTTTGTCTAGTAAACAGCAACTATTGTTTGTGAAGTTTTCTGAGATGTCTTGATAAGATTCTGTGGAACTGCATTTATTATCACTAGGTAGTGACAGGTTTCGAGGGATTAGAAAATGATCAGTACGTTAAACCATTCAAAAATAGTCCTAAATTTAATGTAATTGTGGTGTAAAAGATGCCATGTTTGTGATATCAGTTTCTGTAGTAGAGTGCGGATTTAAGGTGAGGAGTTTGAATTCCATCAAAACCTAAGATTAAATTTTGACTTTCCCCAATTGTAGATATGTATTTTATACTATTGGTCAAAGTCCCATGTTGTACACAGGATGTGAAGACTAGGTGCAGTGTTTGGGTGAATTGCAGTAAGAGGTTGGAATGAATAGGATCAGAATATGTCAATTCAGTTCAACCTCCATTTCAGCTTCGATTTAGAAGTCATACATTCTACCCTGACTTTATTAAACAGTGT